TTTTATTTTGGAAGGCAAAAAATCATACTGTTCTGGATCCAAACCTGCTGGTGAGCTTTGGTCATTTGAACAGGTTTCCATTCATGTTTGGTTCATTTTTAAGGAGTTAAACAAATCAATGGTAATACAGGACCATGACATTATGACTAAACTGGTCGAAGTTGTTGGGGACAGAGACCAGTTTGAACTGGTTTTAGTTCGGTGACTGTCTGTCTGAGGACCTTTTGACTCTGCTGTTTTTCCTAGATAGTCAGGGTCAATTTCAAGACTTCACTGACTCTGCCTGTGTGATGATGTCATCGTGCTCCAGTCTGAAGCTCATGTTACCTGGTTGACTGACTTCAGAAGACCTGGCTCTTGTTCCTGAAGCTGTAATAAGCTGGCAGTGATGGTTCAAAGCCCTGTTTGAACCCCACACTCTGCAGGATCAGGTTCTACTCTGATCCCCCATCTACGCTCTCCTCCGGCACGTTGTACCAATCTTGTCGTGCTCATTTTAAGGCGACAAGTCTTTCAGAGAATGAAGAACTGTCGCCAGCCTGTCAGGTCTCCGTCTGTACATCTGTGCCTTTTTTTTTTTTTCGCTTACCAAACCATCATCAAAGGAGGCTGCGTGCGTCTTTGATTTCTCAGGATTTTATGAAAAGAAAAGAGCCGTTGAGCCTCAGCGTGAAGTGACCAAACACAGCTGAGCTGGCCTGTTGTGATAAAGATAGAAGGCTGCACCCCTATTGAAAGATGTGCCACAATGCTGGATACTGGCTGCTTGTTTTATAGCCAGGAGGGAAAGACTGCGGCCTCCCATTTGAACCCTGATTGAACTCTGGACCCGAACATCAACCTCAGCAAATGTGGATTAAAGACTGGACCATGTTTTAAAGCCTAAAGCAGAGAGTTTCTCAAACCAGCGTTTTATGTCAACTCTTTTTGAAGGAACCTTTTGGTCAAGGCTTTTAAAAGTAACTGCCAAAACAGTTCATAACTTAAAAAATAAACTTTGGCAAAAACAGCTTCAAGATAAGACTATGAAGAAACAATGAGCTACAGAAAATAAATCACTCAGCATTCCTACAAATAATCTATGCTGTACAAGGCTGAATTTGTTCAAACATGGTGTGCACTCTCAAAAAGGGTATTTCGCTTTTTTCATTAAGGGACGAGGGTGTCCAGGTATCGTAGGAATTACTGTATAAGGGGCATTCAGGTACCATCCGAAAATACTCAAATAAATACTCAAAAAAAATACCACAAAAAATACTTGAGAAATAAAATGTACTCCATTGTTAAAAATTATTATTTGCATTATTATGACATTACATCAGTGATTAATCTATTGACAATAACATATTGCTTATTGGCAACAATTAGTGGGACAATATACAATACAGACCTAGCTTGATGTTGAGTCCAGACTGAGAGGACTCATCAAGTAGATATTGGTGTCTATGAATCAGCAGAAAACTGCAGGAACTGAACAGAGAAAAATGAGGGGAAAAAACCTTCATGGAAGAGTCTGGACCCAACAATTTGTTTTTAACATCATACCACTTTAAAAACGCATCTGCTGCAATTATTCCATAGCTTTGAGGCACACTTAACCCATGCTAAGTGGAGCTTGAATTATGAATGACTTAACGCAGTGTGTGTGTGTGTGTGTCATTGCAGTACATGGATCCAAACAGAGAACTACTAGGAAGACAAAAACAAAACAGAGAAAAATAATCAGAAAGATATGGTGAAAAAAACCAAACAATTTTATGTACATCAGCCACAGCAATTTACAACAAAAATCCACCCAAAAAAATAATGGAATTCATTTTCCCAAATCGAGGTTCAGGGTCATCTAGCAAATGCAGGAGGAAGCTGTGCATCATCTGAGGTGTGGAGGTGACTGTTGGGTGGGCACAGTAAATGTAATGAATGTCCTTAACAACTGTGATGAAATGCAGCAGGGAGGGAGTTGGCTACAACATTCGGTTAAACAGCTTCTATGGCTGGTGTTGAGGCCCAGGCGTCACTGGGAGCCAAGCATGGCAGATCTATTAAGGTCAGCTCATTAAAACACGAAACCCATGGAGCTCTCCACCCAAAAACGTTCATGGACGGGTGGGTGTATAGTTGACGACAAAACTATAAAAAAAAAAAAGAAAACATACGTGCGAAAATGTACAATGTTACAGACCATTTTAACAACCTTTACATCCATCAATTAATCCAGTGGTTCCCAACCTTTTTTTACCATGTGACCTCATATTGACCCGAATGTCCGATGACCCCAGAGACATTTTCTTTTCATTTCTATACAGAACTACTTTTACACTGCAAGATTATTTTGTTTTCTGAGGTTCTCCTCTGACTGCAAGTTTGTGTTTAGGCTGAAACATGAAACAACACAACATCACTTGTGCAGTCATGTGATCGCAGCTGTCAATCAAGATCCACCAGCTCAGACATATATAGACATATATATATATATATATATATATATATATATAATATATAAGAATGTGTGTGTTCTTAATCATAATTTAAAATTATAAGTTGAAAATATATATTTTTTGCAGGAAATCTTCCAATCAATTACTAGACATTTCAGACGACCCTTTAAATTCCAGGCGACCCCATGAAGGTTCACGATCCCAAGGTTGAAAAATACTGAACTAAGCCATCTATTCATCTAGGATTCTGTCCATCCATCCATCCATCCATCCATCCATCCATCGAAACCACTACCCACTGACTGGAGAGCAGACATGTTCACCAGTACGTCACAGAGCTACTGGTAAAAATAAAACAGCTATCAACAAGTATCTGAAGAAAGCAGGCACACGCTGGGAGAACATGCAAACCTAGAACCCATCAGTAAGAACTTATTTTTTACCTGGAGGCCCAAGGCAGAGTCACAGAATGACCCTTTATCTTACTGTGAGAAACCACAACGATTTCCAGGAGCCACGCTCTAACTCAGGTTTTCAGACAGGTTGACCTGTTCTTTCAGCCTCTGACACAACCTCACTGTCACAGCTTACACACACACACACACACACAGACTGGTTTTCTCCAGATGGGAAATGTTTCTCTATCCAGGGGACTGGGAAAGGGAGCGGGGGGAGACAGGACAATGGTCCAGATGTAGCCTCTACTCGTCTCCCATGTCGGGATGATTCCGGTCTCACCAACCCTGGACCATCTCAGTGCTCCATAAATCTCACTTTACAGGATAGCAGCTCCTAAATTATATGATACAAAAACAACGCAGCACTCCCATTCTCTCTCTCTCTCTCTCTCACACACACACACACACACACACACACAATCTAAAGCGTGTGAGAATGGGGGGTTTTGGCTCCACCAGTTTTCTGGACGATGATGGACCTTGTTGACCCAGCTCAGTGAAACGGTCCGCTTTGGATTTGTGAGGACAACAACATTTCACAGGGGCTGAAAAACAACATCTGCCTCTGCTCAATTCAAGCCTGCAGACACTCAGAGAAATATTTTGTGCTGCAACAAAACACAGTAAATTCACAGGAAAAATAAAACTATGTTCCCTGAGCTTGTGAAGGAAAATTGGACGTTCAGCCTTGTAGCTTAGCATTTTTGGATCAAAGAAAGCTGGTTACCAGCATTCCCTGGGGATAATTAAAAGAATCCAGAGTTTTCAACTGACAGTTTGTGACAGTGATGTTAAAGAAAATGATCATGGGCGAACAGCTGGATCCTCAGAGTCTCTGAAATGGAACCATCAAGAAAAAGAAGAGAACACTTAACAGGAGACTGCAGAAAAATCCAAGAAGCTGGGAAGGACTTTGGGGATTTTATATGAACTCTGAGATGTGTTTGACTAGGCAAAGACTCAATGTGATGTCATCATCATCATCATCATCATCATCATCATCATCATCTTCACAGGCAATGATAGCAAATCCATGAGCACGAGAGCAGGGGCTGAGAAAACGCTTGTATTGCTGAAGAGACTTAGTATTTAAGGTTTGGATGTTTTCAGATGGATCTGGTGACCAGATGCTGTCAGACCACATGCACTGCAACAGCATCACCACTGAATAGTCATTCAATGGAGCAGTTAAACTTAGAGGAGAGCTGCAAGAGAGGACATCCATAATCATCACCGTGACGACAGTTACTTCCTGAAGGAGAGTTCTGACGGAAAGTGACATCACTAAGACAATGGGTGTTTGAAATATTCATTTGCATGTCTCTCTTTTACACAAAAGGAGGCAAATGGAGGGAAGAAAAGGCAAACAAATGGTTTGAGTCACGCACCAAAATAACAAAGGCACAGCGTGGATGGATGCTGGAATGACTCATTCAGGAACATAATGGGCTGCTAATGGACAAACTGACATAAAGACAATGGTGGCTATGGAAGTATTGTTAGCCGGAACGACAGGGACACACACTTGGTGCAGAGTTGTAGCTGAGTGACATAAGTGAACACATTAACCAGAGAGTTGGTGCATATTTTTGCCTCAGCAGTTATGTGGTAAACGCTGGTGTCATCAGCATACAGCAGTAGTCAATATTGAGACACCAGAGGCTTAGTTTCCAGCTCGGCACACTTTTCACAGCATCTCCGTCTGCTTGAGTCAAAAGCAAGACAGAATAAACAATGAACGACCAGATCGAGACGCGAGGAAACAGAATTTGTATACAAGCAGGTGTACTTGAGTCAATGCCTACTTCACTGACTTTTCAGGCATAATTCTGCTTTTACACAAACATAAATATACCCTGCCAACAACATAGCACCACCTGGTGGTGCCAAGCCCCAGTTGGGGAAGATGAAGAGAGAGTAGAGCAGCAGGAAGGAGGCACGGGGGGGCAGAGGGGGGGAAGTTTTGATGCTGCTGTGTCCACAGAGAAAGACAAACACAAACAGGAAACAAACCACATGTCCAGCACTTCTGTAAACACTGCAGTATTACTACAAAGAACGACACACACCGTAAACATGCTTATCAGTAAAAAGTTCCACTCACCACTTTCACTTTTCTCAATTACATCCACTGTCTCCCCGGCCTTGAGGCTGATCTCCGAGTTCTCCTGCCTCTCGTAGTTGGCGACGGCCACGTACTGCTCCAGCACCATGGGCTCTGAGGTGTCAATCCCTGCGGGGAAGAAACAGGACGTCAGCCACCTGCCCGCCGTGGCGCCGCGCGAACGCCCACTGCAGCCAAATCCAACCCCTTCTCTGATGCAGCCACCGCTGTGAACCCGGTACGCCATCGGCGCAACCCTGCCTCCTGCCACCGCTTTTCCCCCTTGACCAATCACAACACACGCTCACAACTTGGATGCATTGTCCCAAAAGTCTGGCCATATAGCTGAGTCGACCTCTGGCCCACGGCGAAGGAGTGAGGAGCATTGGGAGAAGTCAAAACAAAAAGACAGAGCGGCTGGAACTGAACGGTAGGAGTCGCATCTTAAACCCTAAAGTGGATCCATGACCTCGGCCTCAAGTTTAGGGATTCAAAGTTGGGCGGTGGGTCACAGAGCAGGGGAAGAAAAAAGGCAGGAGTTGAGGAGTTGAGGAGCTGCGAGCGGCTGGATGAGAAGACGAGGAGGCGAATGGAGTGGAAGAACGGAGAAGTTTCCCTTTGGAAAATTCACAGTGTGGTTGAGAGGAAAGGCCTCCCCTCCACTACTGCTGGGAGACAGCCGTTGGACAGGCAGTCAGGGGGGTGGGGGGAGACACCAATCATGGAAGTCTGCACAGTTGGCCTTAAATAGAAACATATGAGTGGACTACACTAAGAGAGAAAGAGAGAGAGAGAGAGAGAGAGAGAGAGAGGGGTTGGGTCTATATTTATATCATACAAAAACCAAACAGCGTTGGAGCTTGTTAGTGTTAGACCACTCTTCTTCTTCCTCTTCTTCTTCTTCTTAACACCTTCAATGCCAGATGTGACGTCACCTCACATGACATTCGTTTTTCTACAGTAAATCTATCATATGATCAGGAACAGAATTGCTGATATTTAGCATCAGGAGCAACATTATTATGAAAATACACTTGTCTAAAAGAAAAAAAAAAGTTGTTTTTTTATATATATATATATACAAACCAACCACAGCTTACAAATTAGCTAAGAAATTGTAGCCTCAAAAAGCTACTGGAAAAGAGTCAAAGGTCATATAAGTAAAAACCTTAGCGCTCTCTAAACTCGCAATCTGACTCTTAACACGTTTGGGTATCAATACTGGTAAGCAATGGTTTAGTCTTTGTAAGTAAAAATGGGTTGTGGCCCACTAATTTAGTATGCTGTTTAGAAACTTCATTCATTTATGTAATTAATCAGGCCACACTAATTCCCTCCCTATGTTATTACATACAGCTGCTCCTCTTTACCAGTAAAAAGTACCAGTATCTGTTATACCACCCATGCATTTCGTTGGCATCTGACGACACCAAAATTCCGCCTGACTGCACGGCCCTAGTTTCTGATCAATCACATTAAGGCGACAGATAAGAGACAGAAGTGTGGGGGAGGAGCCTGTGCTGAAAGAAATATATAAAACCACAGATCTGCGTCTCATTAGCTCCAAGAGCAAAGACCAAAATAACACGCTTTGTCAGCAAATGTGTGTCGGAATATTTGTACCGCGGTAATGAATCTGTGCATGTTCACTACTTGGTCTCCAGAGCTAAGAGCTAATCAAGGCCAAGATTAGGTTTGTTGTCGACAGCTCAGCACGTCTCCTGAGGCTGCAATGAAGACAACGCAGTGGAACGACATCCGGAGCATGCAACTGTGGCCTGGTAATATTTTTATTAGAGTTAAATGGGTTGTCGCTGCACTCGTGCATTTACAGCAAAATAAAAAGACTTGAGCATCGCTGCAGTGCTTGAAACATAATTAAGCGTCTCTGCTGTTGGATGTCCTGTAAATAACCAGACAACACTAGGGGGCGCTCCCAGCCCTCACCTCCTCCTCGGTGAGGGCTGGGTTCTCCCAGGAGGCAGAATGGAGAAAGAGAAACACTTTGTTTGGCCGGGAACACAAGCGGCCCACATGCACGGAGCAATCAAAGCTAGCCAGAGGTGATAAGACGGCACAGATCCAACTATTTAAAACGCTGCAACGCACGCAGTCGTAACGGCGTCAAACCTACAGACGGGTGTCATTTCTGACTTTATTGGAGGTTTTCACGGCAACATTCGTGTCAGAAATCGTTCAAGAGACTCCTGCTCTCAGTGTCTGTATTGAATCTGACTCGCTGCCGCGGCAACACAGTAGGTGTTTCCTACATCGGCCTGTTTTGGTGGGAATTTTAATTCGCTCAATAAACGCCTGAATGAAAAAGGAGCACGTTCAAAAAGGACTCGGAATATTCCGTCGCCGTGGGGGGGGGGGAGAAAAGTTTGGGTTTTGCGTTCACACGGGAAATCACATGACGTGAAATGTCACGACAGCTTCAAAGGGTTCTGAAAGAGGTGGGTTTGTGTTGACTAATGGGACGACCGCAGCACTCCTGTCACTTTTTATCCAACACTGAACAAATCAGCGGAAACGATTGGATTAAATATACTACTAGTTGATTCAGTAAAAAAAAAACAAAGCAACCTGTGAGTATTTGTCAAGTTTTTGAAGTATGTCCACGTGTTTCCCATGAGTCCAATGTATAAATATTCAAAAAATACAACATTGTTAAATAATTTTAGGGCAATGAACAGACTCTATATCTCCCTCCACCCACGTTTACATCCAACCATATACTCATGGTCTCATGTTGGGAGTGATTGACTAACATACATCCTACATGGACATAATGTAAAACACGGTCACATTATTTAGGGAAAACCTAAATGGTGACAGCATTTGAGAAAGAAAACATCACAAGTGAGCGTTTCCCCGGCGGAGCGTGCATCACAGCGTTGACTAAATGTGCTCCAGATGGACAACTGTGCGTTTGCCTTTGTGTCAAAGTCAGAGTGTTTATATCTTCAGGCAGAGAATGCTCTTTGTCTGGATGTTTGTTTCAAATCCACACCTCTTTCTCTCTTCATTGTTCCTGCCACACACCCAAGAGTTGGACTGAGGTCAAATGACGTTATTTAATGCTGAGGTGTTTTTATATATATTATTGGAGCTTAGAAAACCAGATTGGATCGGTTATTTAATTCTCATTGCTTTGACCCAAAGTCTCTACTCTGACAATAAGACTCAGCGACCACAGAGACGGCCCTTCTGTCCTGGAGGCCAGCTGCTGCGCTGGAGGAGCAGAAGTAAACTGAGGAGAAAAAAGTGAACTGACGTGAGAGGGCGATGACAGTGCATGCAAAACAGACGTCAGAGGAAAAAAAACCTAATGTATGAAAAGGAGCAACTATAAAATAAAAGCCCCAGAAGATGCAGCTGGTGTGTGGGCATCACCCAAGCTCAGGAGAACATGCACGTTAGACGAGTTGTTGGCTACCTGAGGCCTCCTTCCTGGGGCTCTCTGTGAAGCCGTACATCCATACTGCAGAAGAAGAGAAAGAAAGAGAGAGGGGCAGGGAGACGTTATTGAGTACAACAGTGAGGAGAACCACAGCAGTGCTACACAACTCCTGCACAACTGGGTCTAACCGGGTCATTATCAGGTGTGAACAAACATTTGACACTTCTGCTACGGCCGTGTGTCACACTGAGTGAAAAGGACAAGGAAAGAATGAAAAGAATAAAAAAGTAGAAACTTTAACACGTGTTTAACCAGCAGCGATCCCCAACCTTTTTTGCACCATAGGCCGGTTTATTGTCTGAAAGTTTTTTCACGGACCAGCCTCTAAGGTGTGGCGAATAAATACAACTAAATAAAATGATCGATCGGCATAAAAACTAGTATTTCCTAAATATAATAATGAACGTTAAGCCACTGTGTATGCAACTTTAATAGCAATGCCTTGTAACATCGCGCTTGTCTTTTAATGCTGAAGTGGCGAAGCGGTTTTGAAGGCTTGGTTGCCTCATTAGAGAGCGCCTCGCCACGTCCCAGGGGTTGGGGACCACTGCTCTACACCACGGGTCTTCAACATAGGGGTTAGTGACCCTAAGAGGGTCTGTGGAGGCACAGCTGGTGTGTGAATGTTTTTATTGGTTTGACAACTTTGTGATATACGGTATATTAGTTGGAAATATATTTAAACACATTCAATATCTTTCCCACAGAGGGCGCTAAAGCCAACCCCAGCAAGTAATAAAGGTCGAGGAAAATCATTTAGAATCTTTTTACACTTGTTTTGGACCTGGGAAGGAAGTTGAGGAACCTGGAGAAAAACCCACACTACGTAGAACAGGAGAACTCCATAAAGAAAGGTAATCCAGGATGAAGTCATTGATCAGCAAATGTTCTAACAACTTCAATCTCTATCATGGTGCACCATGGGAACCGGTTCACTGGCAACACAAGTCGAGCTTGAAAGTCCCAGACCTGTCCTCCTCCCAAGCCTCCTACACACCAGGGGGAAGAGCACCACCTGTTCCTGCTGCACTCATCATCCTGAGGCAGCAAAGTTCTGTAGTTGCTGACATAAAAACTTGAAAAAACTCTGCTCTAAAATGAAAGTAATCAACCCCCAGCGAGGGTCAAAGTAGATAAGAAATGAGAAAGTGAAGCTCTTCTATTGTCAGTGGGGTTCCTTCATCTCTGCATTCCTACTTTTTTAACTAATAACAATTCTGCTGATGACCATAAACCACTTCTTAGAAATTCCTTCCAGCCCAGCCCTGCTGCTGGGAAAATAATATCTCTGAGTAGGAAATTAAACCCCCACCCCAAAGGAGAGGAGACAGACACAGAGGTGGTGGTGGTGGTGGTGGAGAGCTAGGTTTTAAGATCTTTAAAGTGAGAGTCTGACTCAGAGGGAGTGCCACCGAACTTTGGTTTAACGTTTAATGTTCTGTACACTGTTGCCTGGTTATGGTTCTGCAGGGTTCTGTAGTTCAGAGGAGAACCTTGGGAGGGCCCTCTGAGGAGACGGGCAGGGGCTTGCCACAGTGGTGCATAATGATTGAGAACTTTAAAACATCAAGATACGAACATCTTTGTCATCAGAACAACCTAATTCTTTTTTAGGGTATTCAATATAGGGCACCAGGCCCAGCGTAATGTACAGTAAAACACAAACATGTGGCCTAAAAAGTTTTCAATAATAATTTAACTGTCAGTGAATTACTCTTAATTCAATTCAATCAGTTTTTAAAAAAATCAAAAATGTTTCCTCCTGCTGAGTGAGTTCAGGTCCTGCTGAGAACCAACAGTTCCTCATCGTTGACTCACGTCAGATAATAAACGCAAGGATCTTCGCTCGCCATCCGCCAGAGCTTCTGGAGATTAGCCGGACTGATGTTACCCCCAGAGGAACAGCCGTGGGCTGATCCCAGGTCAGCCGGGGTCAAAGCCCGCTCGGTAATGCCCAACTGTGATTTCTACCCAGAAGCCCTCCCACTCTGAGAGTAGAGCTGAAACATCTGAATGATATTACCTCTGCTCTGAGTTCTCCCTACAGCCCACCCCCCCCCCAGCCCACCCCTCTACAAACACTCCCACACACACACACCCCAATCCCCACACACACAATCACTTAATTCTTTTCAGGTTTGGGTGATGACGTTACAAGGCAGCAGACAGGGCTGTGTTTTCTCTGTTCCTCGTGCTGCCGTGGATAATCTTCCTGGAATTCCGACCCCAAACGTCAATATTGAAAAACGGCATCAGTAACGTCCTGCTCTCTAGGTTCAAACTGAGGGGCCTATCAGCCGTCAATGTTGGTTTTTTGTCCACACGTGGACATGCGTGTTTTCAGAGGAATGTTCACCTTGCTGGCATTGACACCTCTGCGCCCTCCACCCCTGAAACAACAAGCTGAGCTCCGTGGCTCCATGAGCTCCATGGCAACACAATTTAACATAAAAACATGAGTTTTCTGCTGTGACGTTGAGGGTGTGGTGGCATGAAGTACAGACATCAGTTCTTTGAGACAAACATTTGCTCAACCGGAACCAAAATAGTACGTGAAAAACGGACATTTTTAGTTTTTAGGTAAACGTGTTGAGGATATTGCCGTGAGCAGGGACGGTAATAAATGGTTCAGTCCCTGAAATCATCAGTCTGCATGCTGATTCCACAGATGCGTTTGTTGAATCAGCATGACGTATCCGCTTAATGAGGTCACACCCACATAATTTGCTTCATTACGCCACACACATCACAGTTACTCTGATAAACCAGCCGTCTTTCATATTCTGTACAGCGATGGCGCTGATGAGTCTCGGGCCAGAGTTGTGGCATGGCTTTAAATATGCCAGGGTAAGTGAATCAGAGGAAGAAGACACTGTCCTGGAGTGTGTCCACAGACAGGAGACAACAGCCTGGCACTAAAACACTAATTAACGCTGATAGCTTAGCAGGCACAGTACAAGCCCCACATCCCTCCCTTACCTCTCCAACCACACACACATACACTTACACACACACACCCCCAGTGAGTAAACACGGCCGATTAGTCCGTCGTCAGTCTGCAATCTTATCTTCTGTGCCACATCAACAAACTTCTGTGCTCCCTGCAGCTCAAACAGTCCCTGTTCTGTGCCGAGAAGACTCTTGGATGAAGAGGTGAAACGTCTTGAAGAAACTACGACGCTCCAGTTGTCCTTTATGTAACTGCTTTGGATGTGATGACCTGGATGACTGAGAACTTCCACAGACAGATGTCCCCTGCTCTGTTTCCTCTACCTCGGCTCCCTCTCACAGGCGACTACCGGCTGGAGGTCACGCTACAGAAACGTGACCTCTAGTTCATGAAAATTGGTACATGAGCCACAAGTGGGACATGTGGACCTCATTGGACATGTGAGTTGTTGGGCTAAAGCTGGGTGTCCAAATGTGTCATTTTCTTATTTGGTGGTTAAAACTCTTTGCTCAGATTATCCTTAGTGCCAAAGGTCAAGCACACAAAGAAACACAAAGATTCAGTGTGTTAATTCAGAGCTTTCCAAATTGTAGTTTGGAACAAACTTTTTTGATATTTTAGACTTAGTTCCAGACAGATTTGGTGAATGGAGCTTTGTAATAAAGAACAAAAATACATGTATGTTTTGTATGTTTGGTGGTGGTTTTTAAGGATATAATCTTGGTCAGGAGAAAAACAAATATTGGCAGTAGATTCTTCACTCAGTGCAGATGTTGGGCAGTTGTCCAGAGGTTTTAAATAGAAGTTCAGACAGCCTCCTGCCCCTCTGACTGGCTCTGAGTTACTGGATGCTGCAGCTGAGTTACTGGGTCAGTGAGGTGGTACAGTATTTAACTTGGCACTAGCCCAGCGGCTTAGGCTGGCTGACACAAACGCAAGTAAAGCCACCTGTTCCTGGGTTTAATAACAAGCCGCGCCGAAGTTCACGTGGAGCAAAGAAAACTAAAGTGGGCTTATCAGAAGAAATAATCAGCTTCCAAGAAATGAAATCACTTTGAGGAATGTGGATGTAATGGAAGAGGTTTTCTCTGGGGCTGCAGTCAAACAATTCATTGTTAGAGCTTCAGCAGGTTCAGGGCACGTGGTCAAACTCAAACTCAACTCCAGTTTCAAGAGCTGCTCACTCAACTCCCGACCTGAATCAAAACTTTAACTCACCAGGTCCAAAGCCTAGCAATAATGTGGCCAGCTCAAACAAACACTACACTCCAGGAGAACCCCAGTTCACTATCTGAACATCAGGCCACCTTCTGGGAACATGGTGCTACTACAGGATTGGCAAAGGGTTAAAATGAAAATCCATTTAAATATTTTTATTTATTAAGCATCAGAAGGTTTGCAGTAATTTGCAATCTGATTGCATTTAGGGGTTGGCTTTAGGTATAAACTTACTTTGTCTTCACTGGCGCGTGAAGTGGGTGAAAATACGACAGACTCACATGGGTCGCTGCGTTTGTTAAGCAGCTCTACTGAAGCTAAAACCCTGCGAGAGACATACATTAGCCACGACCGCTAATGAGGCTGAAAATGTGCCACACCGAGGAGTGGATGAATGGTTTTAGTAGTTCACCAGGCAGATTGTTTGTGTTTGTGAGCCTGTGCAACTGAACTCTGGGTGTATCTGAGGGATGTTGGTCTCAGCCAATCAACCTTTGAACAGAAGATGGAAACGCAGATTTGTCAGCTACCTGCTACTGATACCTCTCTGGCTACAATATTTCCATGGATGCATTTCTGCTATGAAATAACCAAGCAATCTGGTGGGGTAGTGGTTAGCCCATTTGCCTTATAGCATCAACATTTCCTGTACTTGCCATGGCTGTGTAGGGGTTTTCTTCAGATTCTTCCCAAAAACCTGCAGATTATTCCACGCTTAACTGACCATAGGTGTGAATTTAAGTGTGAATGGTTGTTTGTCTCTTCATGTGACATGTGAACTGACCAGGGTGTGACACCCCCCCCCTCCCCCTCCTACAACCATCTAACGGGATTAAACTGTAGAAAATGTATAAACATTCCAATCATTAGCCTTAGCCTTTGGTCACATTAATCATTTGTTAAACATAATTTATTTTTCTTCCATGAGAGGAGCCACTGAGTCAGAGTCATGTATGACATGTATAAAAACCATAACATACAGTATATGAAGTTTTTTAAATGTTATTGTCAATAAAAATATGGCTCCTTTAGAGCATTGTTTCCCAAAGACTGGGTCGCAAGAGTTCTTTTTTTGGGTCGTCTCGCATCAAGTTTACCTGGAGTTTATGAATAACGTCTATTGACTTGGGTCGCGAAGGTTTGTTACTTTTAACATATGGGTCCCTAGTAAAAAAAAGTTTGGGAAACACTGCTCTAGAGAACAACATGCTAGTAATCAACACAACCAGATGAATGTTAGTGACACAATGAATCAGTGGTTCTCAAACACTGGTACATGCATCACTGGTGGTACTTAATTTTTTTTTTAATGCTGCCTCGGCAAATAGCAGAGAGAATTGATGGAATGACTCAAAATGATAAATAGTCCAATTACATTAAAAACAGTCATCTGTCATGTATTTATATATTTGATTTCCATTAAAAAGAGAATTATTGATCTTTGACTTTGATTTGAGCTAATACCAGACTGTGGTTAGCATCGTGCAGCGGGACGGTGATAAGATCATGCAACAACATCCGACAAGTTACAGGAACGGCTCTGGTCATTTATCACAGGAAGATTATAAAACGTTAAAGAGCAGGGTTGATGGGGCAGTTGGGGGGGGCAGCAAGAGGAAGACATTTTCTTAAAGTTAGGGTAGAGGAGGAAAACAGGTGACTTACCCGACTTGCGCTTGGAGCCATAGTCCCTGAAGGAGAAGCAACAGAAGAAGGACATGGTTAGTGACAGCTGACGCCAAGCTGTCCACAACAAATCACATGTAAATCCAGACACTGCTCAGAGTCAGGTCCTGCTGGAGTGCACGCATGCACAAACAAATGCATGTGCTGGGCTGGAGCACCAACACATGCTTGTGTTCAAAGGGCTACAGAGAGACGGAGTGAAGGACGGATATAGGAGGAGGGAGGGATGACTTTGGCCAGCTGCCCGCACTCCCTGCAACAGAAACAACTGAGTCATGTGACTCTCAAGCGGCACCACCATCCTCTTCTTATACTTGTCCTGTTCCTCCCTCCTCTCTCCGTCCCGTCACAGCAGCAGCCCACCCTCTGACCACACTTAAAGGAGGATCAGTCTAAGTTCCTTTCTTAATGGATTGTAATGGGATTATGCCAAAGGGCTGAGCTATAAAGGGGGGGAGGGGGGGGGTCTGCCAGTGCCCCTGTCAATAGTGGCTTTTGGACTCTGGCAGCGTGGTAATTGTTTAAAAGAAAGAGATAATCCGAAGCATGAACAAGATATTTATAGAAACCCAGAGCTGCCAATCTGACCGTTGTTAGTTTACATGTTCACTCGATGACTTCCTTCCTTCCTTCCTTCCTTCCTTCCTTTCCACCACTCTTCTCTGTTTCACAGCTTGACAAACTTTGCAGGATTCTAAAGGACCGATCCAGCTGCAGCCTGAACTCAGATTCAGCCTCGTCATTCTGCAGCAGTGGAGACGGAGCCAAATCCCACTAGAACCTTCCTCTCTAACCTGGTGTAAGAGTTTGTTTTTTGCCTCAACATGAACCTATATGAGAGAGCAGCTGTTGATGAGTGACAGAATCACAGACAGATCATGTTCAAGAGGTGGAGCAGCAGACTGTAGCCCACTCCTGTCAGTGCTTCTCTAGTTGAGACGAAGGTGTGTGTCATCTATAGCCTACTGTATATGTAGACTCTGCTCAGTGAGACCTAAAGGTTAGAGTTCAGAGGTTTTTACTTTGTTTTTTAGAGCATGACTAGTAAAATATCTAGAATATACATATGTATACATGTATGTATAAAAAAAAAACTAAGAGAGGGGGTGATAGTGAACATAAATAACCTGCTCAGTACCGTGTATATACTGACACACTGTAACCACTAACTCTCACTCAGTGTGTTCAAACCCATACACAGACATGGACACTCTCCCTTTTTGGAAACACAGCAACCCACAAGAATAAACAGAGGTCGGTCATTTGTAACGACTGACTCAGCCCATGAAGGCCAGGCCTCCTTCACTAGAAATGTCACAGGAGAATGCCTAACCTCGTTTTTTATTTTATGTGAAAAACCTTTTTTTAACTTAAAAAAACATTGTTTTTTTTAGGACAAGAATCAGGTCAGGACAGATTCTTCTGGTCCTGAAAAGTAGACGCTCCTAAAGAGGAGGAAATGAAATATCATGTTAGAATACTCAGTTGGAGAATTTCTCAAAGGTTTTTGGTGAAGGTGGTGGCGAGGAATAAAAATCACATTTGTGTCCAACACAGTGACGTGCAGTTGGTGGAGGCCATGCCTCACCTGTCATCATGATAAGTGAAACACTAACGCTCAGAGAAAATAATTGTTTCTGCTCGACTGTTCTATAAATATGATTTCTGTTTGACTTCAACATTTCTATGGTCAAGAATTACTGAACTCCCAGTTTGGGCTTCATCAAGAAGAGCATCTTGGTGTAAAAACTCCCAAATGATGAGACAAGAAGTGATTCTTCATTGTTTTTAGCATCTGCATTTGTTCTTTAAATCCATGAATAGGAAACAGCAGGACTCTGCTGCAGAGTCAGAGTCTGGGACTGCTGATCTGGCAGAGCACTCTGAAAAATCTTATTCATTAAATGAGAGCCCACTCATCTTGTCAAGTGCAATGTAGAGCAAATAACGCTTGAATATTTTACTGCAGTATCAGGAGAGAGCACTAAGGTGAAGGCATCTCCCTGCAGGAGGTTAATGAAAACCTCCACCTTCCTCTCACTGCAACCACAGCACCGCTAATACAGAGGACGGACGTCAGTAGTTACTGCTAAGTGACGGTGTTGAAGCTCAACTTCCTCTGCATTTTTATTGACATTCCGTTGGCTTAAACCTGACCAACTTTAAGACCAGTTTGTTCAGAATGACAGGGTTATCACAGATCACTTGTAGCAGTGGAGTGTATTAAACCCTGTTGAAGCTCAGCCTTAGTTGAGCTTCTGCATGACGATTGGATGAGGTGTAGAACTACTTTTACTGAGCACCTGTGAGAGACATCTGGAGACAAAGTGCTTTGTGTTTGTCGATTAAGTACATTGACTTTTGTCTCTCCACTGCAGTCCTTTCTTGTTTTTTACAATTATCATGTTCTTTGGCTATTTTTGCCAACATGCTAGCTCAATGAAGATGTTTGTTGTCTGTTAAAATGTGAAAAGACTACAACTTGGCCTCTAATGTCCATCTACCAGGATGTACAAAAAAAAATCACTGCTAGATCTACAGTAACATAAAAAAAAACACACAGGCAGTAAATGCAACGGTCCATCTAAGACTGGTTGGTCCAGTGTCTCCTCACATGTCCCCGCGCTCTTTTCCTTCCTCCCTCCATCTCCTGATCTAATGTATCTGTCTCTTTGTGGCCGCTCACAGCCGATGAATAAAGCCTTTATACCGACCTCAGCACCAAGGTCGCTGGGCGCTCGCAGCCAGAACAGGCTTCTTTGTGACTAAAGTGGGACACAGAACGCAGGACTTGACCCTCAGCTTTATTCCATCCATCTTCAGTGGTTTGGGACACACAACGTCTAATAAATTAGGAATGGATGATATTCCAGCCAGTGGCCAGAGGCACATGGCGAGCTATGTTTGGAAGTGTCTCAGTGGAAACTATGCTGTGGAAAGACCGACGTTACTGTGGTGCTTTAAAAGCCGTGAACTTCTCCGTTCAGTTTTACACAAGGCAGGAAAACAAGGCTTTTCTCTAAATAAAGATCTGGGGTTTTTTTTCTTTTTCGGTGCTGGCATTCATGCCAGTGAAGCGAAAGCCTGGAAAGAGGTGACACATGTGAACACATCATCAAGCCAAGTGCTGCGAAAGGATTATCATTCCATCGAATACACATGAAAAATTCAGATTTTCAATGCATTCTGGGTGTTTACTGGGACAGGAGTGTGAAGGACCTAGTTCTCATGAGAGTGGCGACTACAGAAGAAAAGCAGAAGCAGCCGCAGCAGAAGCAGCCTGAAAAGTACTCTGTGTTGTCCCTTTCCCAGAGAGACTGTTAAGCTGCTTCTGCTGCGCATGGTTTAAAAGGCAACGACACGACTTCAGAGTTCTATAAACAAGTCCTGATCAGGAGGAAGTCAGAGACGCTAACACGTTGCTTCTATATCTTTATCAGACTTTATCAGACTATCAGACTATCAGACAAATTTATCAGACTTCAGCAAAAGCTGTGCTGCGTTCGCTGCCCTGGGGTTAATTGTTCCTAATAAATTAAAAATTACAGTTGTTTAACAAAACAAATGACGGACTATGTGCAGATTACATGAATGAGAGCTCTTGTTATGGGAAGTTTAGCTTCAGAGTTATTGAAATATAAAATATTAAAAATATTTTTAACTGTGTTGTCTGTACTAAGGTTGTTGTAGCCAACATTAGCATCTGCATCAGGACTGTTGTAGCTAATCTTAGCTCTAATGTCTGTAGCAGGACTGCTGTAGCCAACGTTAGCTTTGGTGTCTGTAACAGGACTTTTTGCCAAAGTTAGCGCTGTTTCTATGCTCACAGAAACATGTTAGTGGAGGTGATACTGTAGACCTGCAGTGATGAGAAAACTCTTACAAACAACCATAAGTCTATTACAACTGATATTAGGAGGTTCATAAAGAAAGAGTTTCTAAACTTTGTTGTGCATTACCGCCACCTACAGGCTGGGGTGTGCATCAGTGTTGAATTAGGGAACTGAGAAGGATGTCTTTAGATGATAATGATGGTACACCATGATAAGAAATTCTAATTCTATTTTTTAAGAAATATTTCCAGTCTTGTCCTGTGCCTTGAACGTTTTGAGCTAACAACAGCAACTGAATCAGCACAAGAATTAACTTTAGTCCAAAGAACAACAGACATTCTTACTGCAACAACATGAAACCAGTGGATTGTTCGAAGGGCTAAAGATATGATTGTACTTCACAGGCTGACCTGTCAGCGTGGGGGCGGGGCAGGTTATTTTTAGATCAGTCTTTAGAGGTTCACTTTAGAAGCATCTGCAAAGCATTAGCGCAAAATACAGTGAGACGAAGAGGAAGAAAGAAACACAGAGTCCAGACTCCATCCAGTGACCCGAGTCGCTGGGCTGAAATCATACTCTTCCCCCGAGGGCTGAGCAGCCAACTTCAGCTGCCAACTCTGTTTCTATACATCTTAAGGTGAGGAGAGGGAGAGGAGAGCGGGGGAGGAGAACATACTGCAGTGGGGGAGAAAAAGAGAATCGCTATAGGTAAAAATTTCAGGGATTAGTATTCTGGTGGATTTAGCAAAACAGCAAAAGAAAGTTTTGGATGCGACTAAGTATGGACTATAGGTTTAGAAGTTATAGGTTCTCACTGTAAGATTCCCATTCACACTGCATGGCAGCATCCATTTACGACACACAGTCTATGGCTAGGTGAGTTTCACAACATTTGGTTGATTTTTTTGGTACCTCATTTACACTTTATTGCAAACAAACGTGGCTGCAGCACTATCTTCAGGTGTGTTGTTGACGCACCTATACAAATGGTACAACCTTAAAATAATCTATTGAGATTCATTCAAAGGCAGCATTAGAATGGCCTTTGACTGGAGTCCATGCAGTGACGAAACAGTAGTTCTCCTCATCTGCACAGCTACAAACTGTCATCACTTATTTTCCAAACATCTGAAGGCAGATCATGTGATCTAGGAGTCAGGAAGTATTGACTG